GTAGTCAAGTATTTCAAAGACAAGGATTGTAGTCAAGTAATCTAAGTACGCTTCTCTACGTTTCACCGGGGATTGTATTCAGGTAATTTGAACACATGGGTTGTACTTAAGTAATTTAAACACATGAACAGTACTCAAGCAGTTAAAACACATGGATTGTAGTCAAGTAATTCAAAGACGTGGATTGTAATCTCTAGTTTTGACCGTGGTCCGTATTCAAGTTATCTGAATACATGGGCAGTACTCAAGCAAGTTAAACACGCTTCTCTACGTTTTGCCGTAAACTCACGGGATCAAAGCTCAAATTTGTTTGCTTTTCATCACAACAATATATAACCTGTCGGGGGCCATCAGGGAGAGTGAAAAAACAAGCTATAACAGTAAATCTGTCATCAGCACTAGTGTATACTGCCATATGTTGCTTCAAGGATGATAACTGAAGGGGCGGTCTCCACACTTCCCTTCATCCTTTCCATTTAGGGGGATGGAGCACTCCAGTGACTAAACCGTTCTTCCATTGTGCCAGGGTCCGGATTCCACATTTGGTACAATATGTACAATATGTGACGTCCTGGTCTCCCGCTGAAATATGACTTGAATATTGCTAAATGTGAAGCACAGCCATGCTAACCATTCCTTCCTTTCAACTTAACACTACGTCCTGAGCATCCAAATGAAATGGCTTGGTCAAAGTGAGTGAGTTTTACGCCGCACTCAGCAATAGTCCAGCTATATGGCGGCGGTCTGTAAATAATCGAGTCTGGACCAGACAATCCAGTGATCAAGAACATGAGCAACGATCTACGCAGTTTGCAATTGGCTTCGTCACATTTCAATATTAAGACATTGGTCAAGAGGGTTCCACGCTTCCGTAACCGTCATCATCCGGTTTACGACAGTCCCAACCAGTTTTTAATATAAAGACAGAATAATAGCGTCCATGTTTACATTGTGCAGCCCTGGGATTGTTTATAAAATACGTACTTTTAAACGTCTACTTTATAAACGCCAGACAACACCTTCCCCTGACTTGAGCTTTTGCCAGATACAGATGAAAGTGGAGATCAATCGAAAATATTACTTTGCATTCATGGGTGTCTTGCTTTTGGAAGATATTTCGTATAGATATGGAAGGGTTTTATGGTGTTTTTTTATATACATGTATTTGCCTCTTTTGGGGGCAACATAAAACAACAATTTCTGTCGTTAAGAAAGACGAAACATTCCTGCAGTTACCAGACGCGTGCTAAAGGGAGGTAACTCCGTGTGGACGTCTAGCATTAGCTACTCTGAATGTAAAGGACGATTTCTGTAGAACTGACACATTCAGACAGCCTCATAGTGAAATCTAGTCTGTCGTACAGACCCTGAAACAAATATACCCAATGTATAGGTAATAAGACGAGAGGTAAAACGATGCTCCCAAGATTACTGCAATAGGTACATGTCTGCAAGTGAGTGAGTGAGTGAGTGAGCGAGCGAAGTGAGAGTGAGTGAGTGTGTGTGTGTGTGTTTGTTTTGTGGGCGCATGCGTGTGTATACTGGCCCAGACAAATGCCAATTTTATAGTGCATACCATGGTACAGTTTAACATGGACATACCGCTCAAACGTAGTATGATGACTTCATGTTCTATCCTCTGAAAGCCGGACGCTTGGCAGGGTAACACGGAGTACCATCTTCCAGGTACGTTCAGCTACCGTCAACACACAACACCAAGACATGCAACGTGGGCACTTCACCTCGGACCAACACACCCCAAACACCGCTTGTCGCGGAGAGGTAAATAAGATAAGAAGTATATATTTGTACCGATTTTTCCGTGTCTCGCATTATGTTCAAAGCAATAAAATAACAGTGTAATGGAGATTTAATACTATACTCATGCCAATAATGGCACCCTCCTCCCCACCTCAACCCCACCCCCTCTCCAATAAAAAAAATTGAAGGGGGTGACAACCATTATTGGCATGAGTATATTTACAATCCTCCGTTTACATGCTATAAATAAAGAAAAGGCTAAGACAAGTTTTAAAGCCTTATAAGATAAAAATACCAGTGATTTTGCATAATAGTTCGTCCAGACTAACTACTAGTCTATGAAATGAACATATTTTACAGAAAAAAAATCATAATAAAAAAAATATAATGAAAAGGAGCCCTGAGACTTTCTTCAATAATCTAGACTTGCATGGGCTTTCTTGGATATGTTTGTTTCAACTAACTATAGTTCGCCATACAGACCCTGAAACAAATATACCCAAAGCCGCCATTACAAGTCTGGAATGTGTGGCAAGTCTAGATTATCACAATTTCTTGAAATGAAGAAAGCCTCTGGGCTCCTTTCTATATTGTTTTATTAACATAATTTAGAAATCGTTGTTTTTTCTGTAAAATATATGTTCATTTCCGAAACTAAATGTGAGTGTACTTTGCAGCACTGTCCATTGAATAAAAATGAATACACAATGCTTTTGTTTCTAGATGTGCACGATCCGTGAAGATCTGGGCTAGAATTGATCTTCAGTAACCCATGCTTGTCGTAAGAGGCAACTAACGGGATCGGGTGGTCAGGCTCGCTGACTTGGTTGACACATGTCATCGTATTCTAACTGCGTAGATCGATGCTCATGCTGTTGATCACTGGATTGTCTGGTCCAGATTCGTTTATTTACAGTTACATAAAGCTGGAATATTGCTGAGTGCGGCGTAAAACTTAACTCACTCACTCTAGTTGTGCATAGTTTTAAAGTTTGGAAAGTAGATCTCAAGAGAATGAGGTCAGTTTAAACGGTGAACTCGTAATGTCACACGGCCCCGCCTCATTTGTGGCACTATCCAACTGTGGTTTTCTAGATGTACACAATTTTAAAGTTTTTAACACAATTATTTTTAAGGAGCTAGTGGATAAAGAAGTCGGCAACATTTAGTCAAAGTCCGTCTCACTTGAACAAATGTCATGTTATTTATTATTTACACTTTTCAAACGCTTCATCAAACACGAACTCTTGCACCTTTGGTTAAGCGCTAAATCTGAGTATAATTCGATTAAGTTTATCAGATAAACTATCAAGGGCAAGCTTCGTCGCGTCTCTCGTAATTTATTTACACCACATTATATCAAACGCCTGTTACGACTCTTGTCATTCACCAAATGAACGCCTCAGCACTCATTGCCGTGAGAGTACGCTCAATGGAGCGAAATTTGAGACGGGAGCGCGGTACTTATTGATGATATTGTGCAAGATGTATGAATTATTAACACACGGGACAAATGCTTTCGTTTCGAATAACCCCGTGTACTAGGAAGTGGTGACTCCGGAACAATGCATGTTGACATTCCGACATAACAAAGAAAGCGTGGCAGCTGTCTTGCAAATGACGACAGACATTTAAAGCATGTCGAAAAAGCGGGGAAACTTGAGAAAAGATTTAGTTTTTGTCCTGGTTTAAATTTCTGAGCAAATAGATGGCTGATCATGTACACAAGTTTGTAAATGTCATGATTTGGGGGTGATCTGTATTTCCCAAACAAGAAAAAGGTCATATTTGCATTCTGACTGCAAGGTATTGCTGTGGTGTAAGTGGTGTATTACATAGGCTTTGGTTGACCATAAAAAATATTCCACGGCCATGTTTGTTGTAACGTTAGTGGAGTAGGGGAGGTAACTCCATATAGTATAATTATTGTCGTTGGTTCTGCCATTTCAGTTTCAAGATCTATGTACCTACTGGTGGATATAGAATGATTATACGTGATCCGATAATCTATTATTTATGCAGTTGTTGCAAGCAAATCATCTAGGGACTCTTGGAGTCAGTAGTTCTTCAAAGCCATGCTTGTTGGTAGGGCCAAATATGAGAAGGGAAGGGTAGCACCAACCATCTTGAATGTCGCCATGGTAACCAATGTGTGGACATTTGTTCATGTCTAAATATGTGCGGTTTTCAACTTTAATTTCCTTGTTGCTGAAACCCACATACCCCTGTATGGGGCTAACAAACCAAATAAACAAACTGGTATGAATTGGGGATTCAAATCCCCAGACAGATGAAAATATATACAAGGCATTTGTAGAGCACTTAATATCCATGTCAAAGGTGCTCAGGTGCGCTGAGGTCAAGTTATGTGCAAAACACAGACATTACTATATTACCCAAGCTGCCTGTGGAAGCCAGAAGGTTAACATCTTAACCCACCGGGTATCCATTTACTGCTGTGTGAACAAAGGCAATTTTGAAAAAACTCACTTGCCAAAGTGAGACCACATGTTTCATGTGTGCTTCGTTGTGGGGCAAGACAGGTCCAAGAAGCTATCAGGACTTAAGCTGCCAAATATGGTCCCCCATCCATGACTTGTTACCATAACTTCAACAGATTTGTGTACTGGGCTCTGTGCACAAGACAACACACCACCACATATGATCCAGGGACACAACTCCATAGAATGAGTGAGTCCTCAGCACATTCACCTTACTGTGACCATCTCGATATTGGAGCACAATTACCTATTGGCATGGCAGCCATACTTGCAATTTGTGACAAAGTCAACTCTCTGTCTCTCTCTCTCTCTCACACACACAAGAATCAGAAATACAAAAATAGACACATTTATTCACATTCATAGTTGTTCCTCCATATATACACTTAATCCCCTGTTAATGTGGCTTTCTCCATGAACAGTTCTGCAGCTACATTTGTTCAACACAGTGTGGAACAGTATGTCACTCATCATTTGCCAGTGTGATGGGGGGAGATAACCTGAAGCTATGGCTTCTATGTAACTAGGAGCATTGTTAGGATGCTCACAAACCAGCACCTTAGATTGGGCCAAACCATCCACCAGTCCCTTGGCGGACAGCCTTCAGAAGATGCCTGTTTTCTATTCCATATTTCCAGTCTATCAGTCTGTAAACAGCCCCTGGAAGATCCATGTTTACCTTCCATACAAACAGCTTATCTGTGAACAATCCTAGGAAGGTACATGCATGTTTGTCTCTGTGAACAATCCTAGGAATGGACATGTTTGGTCTTCCATACATACAGTTTATTAGTCTGTAAACCGCCCCTGGAAGATCCATGTTTATCTTCCATACAAACAGTTGATCAGTCTCTGTGAACAATCCTAGGAATGGACATGTTTGGTCTTCATACATACAGTTTATCAGTCTGTAAACAGCCCCTGAAAGATCCATGTTTATCTTCCATACAAACAGTTGATCAGTCTCTGTGAACAATCCTAGGAATGGACATGTTTGGTCTTCCATACATACAGTTTATCAGTCTGTAAACAGCCCCTGAAAGATCCATGTTTATCTTCCATACAAACAGTTCATCAGTTTCTGTGAGCAATCCTAGGAATGGACATGTTTGGTCTTCATACATACAGTTTATCAGTCTGTAAACAGCCCCTGAAAGATCCATGTTTACCTTCCATGGTTTATCTGTGAACAATCCTAGGAGGGTACATGTTTGATCTTCCATTTCTACAGTGTATTAACAGTCCCTCTGAACAGCCCTTGGAAGGTGGATGTTTGATCTTTCATACAAACAGTTTATCAGTCATCTTGACAGTCATGTTTTCTTGCATAAGCGGTCTTCCACACAAGCTATCACTTGTGGAACAGCATGCAGTAATTGTGAGAATACATTACAGGCTTTCCACATATGCCATCCCTTGAAAGTCACGATTTCTTGCACAACTGGTATTCCAGAAAAGTCATCAGCTTAGAGAGGCAGCATATCTGTCCTTCCATACATATAGTTTATCAGCAGATGCTGTGAGGAGGCAAGCCTCTGAGGGATGGAAGGAGAGGGAATGGACCGCACGAGTTGTGCTGTGGTCCAGCTTTTGCAATAACTTGGCCTGAAAGGGAAGAGGAAATTCAAAATCAGAAATATTGTCATTATCAGTTTAGAAAGTGTGAATTTTGTCTCAATATCATACCATCTTTAAATAGTCTTGAATAGTCTTGCATTTAATGGATAAATAGAATAAATAATTCGCTTAGGTCTATTTCCTATGAATGTCAAAACCTGATTTCAAGATATGATAATCTGTTAACTTTCAATTAGCTGAACCTGAAAATTTTCTAATCCTTAAATTCCCTACATTTGACAGCCTTAGAAATTCCAGAGGAGGAGTGCAAATCAAATTTCACTGTCCTCAGTCTATAGCTAGCGTTACAATATCCGATCCGGTTAGTTGCCTCTTACGACAAGCATGGGTTGCTGAAGACCAATTCTAACCCAAATCTTCACGGGTAGTAGAAAATGAATGAATGAGTATGGTTTTATGACGCTTTTAGCAATACTCCAGCAATATCATGGCGAGGGACACCAGAAATGGGCTTCACACATTGTACTCATGTGGGTAATTGAACCCGTGTCTTCGGCACGACAAGTGAATGCTTAAACCATTATGCTACCCCACTGACCCTTGAAAAAGAGAGAATATCAAAGGCTACATAGTAACAGGTGTGTCTTACATCGATGAGATCCCATATGTAAACGAAGCCGTCCTCAGAGCCACTGACGATGTGGGTGTCCTTCCAGTTGAGACAGCTGTCGATCTTATACTCCTTGTTCTTGTGGCCTTCGTATCTGTAGAATGCAACACAGACGAACTGTAACATCATACCTTGCATCCAACATGCCCTTCAGTCTAATCTGTTCTAGGCGGGCCTGATTCATTTATATATAACCAAATAACCTGATGATACAATACACGATATGCCTACCCATGTATCATTTCACACTTTAATTTGGTATCAGTTTGAAAAAGTAATAGCCACTTTGCAATAATTCCGCCACTTAATTATTTGAACTAGCCTTACGTCACCATGTACCACAAACAGAAACACTTGTCAGATTACGCAAAGCTATAAGAGCACACTTCAGCTAACTAGTTATGTAAGTTAAGCAAAAACCAGGTTCACAGCAACATCTTCTTGCAAGCCGAGAATTCATCTCAAATTACCCAACTTGTGTATTGCTCAATAAAGTATTGTACTGTTACGTTAGATAATGGGGGAGTGAGAGTGACTACTGCTTAACTCCACATCAGCAATGTTGCAGCTATTTGTGTTGAATATTTTCCTGGCATAAACTTAATATTTTCCCAGACATAAACTGAATATTTTATGAATGCTTCATACAGTTACAAGCACCATGAGTTGAAAAAGAGTTTTCTTCTCAAAGAAAAGAGATAGATATTTTATGGACAGCCACAGTTATCAATAAATCATAAATAGAAAGAGAGTTTGAAGTAGTTTTGCACATGTGTACTGCTTAAATAATTAACACACTTAGGCCACACCAATCATATTTCTTGTTTTACAGATTTTTGTCCTCAGAAAACCTAAAGGCAGGAGGGAAAAAACAAATAAAAATAAAAATAACCAGTCCAAGTAATATTCCCTTTAAATACTAAAAGCATTTTACTTTTGGCAAGTTATGAAGTGTATATGGGGCAAAAAACAATCTAAAAAACCCCCATTTCTTGTAAGTTTACATTTTTGGCCAATTAAAACATTAAGATTTCCTGTTTTTGAGCGGGGCAAATTAATTTATATCTTTTTTCTTAGTCTTGAGAAAATATGACCGGCGGATTCATAAAACAAGAAATAAAATTGGTCTGGCCTTGCGTATTATTATCTGCATCTCATGACCATTCATGAAACCACACTCAACCATGAAACCACACTCAACCATGAAACCACGCTCAATCATGAAACCACACTCAATCGTGAAACCACTCAATTATGAAACCACACTCAATTATGACATCCCCTACAAATCATAGAGAACCTACTCATTGAGGAGCTCCCCTGAATCCTTGTCCAGTAGGCGGAGCTTGTTGTCCAGTGTGCTGGCCAGTGTGCACTGGCCATCTCTGGTGAACGTCACACTCGTAACTGAAGCTGAAGTGTACACAATACTTCAAAATAAAACTTAATCTGGTTTTGTTTGTTTGTTGATAGTTGTAATATTCCAGCTATATCGTGGGATTTGTAAATCAAATCTGGGTCACAAAAAGAAGTGGTCGATATAATGCACTACATCTCATCATGTTTGTTTTGTTAGTTATTCAACTCAGCAACTCAGCAATATTCCAGCTTTATTACAACAGAAATCTTCACTTTGACCGGGGAACCAAGTGACTGATATGAGCAAAACCGAAACGAACAGGATACTAGGGGTGAAACGGTATACCGTGGTATTAGTAGAACTGAGGTATTTTGACTTCGGTTCAGTATACCATAATGCACTCCAAAAATTCAGTATTTTTGGTTTTCGTACCATCATTTTATCAACCTTTTTAAACCTTTCTAAGGTGGAGTTATTTTGTCATAATCTATGCATTTCTGTAAGGTTTAGCTCTTGCTGTCAATTTTCTGCATTATGATCATATCTCATAAGAATTACATTAATAATGGTGAGTGAGTTTAGTTTTATGCCACTTTTTGCAATATTCCAGTAACATCACAGCAGGGGGACACCACAAATGGGCTTCACACATTGTAAGCATGCGGGGAATCAAACCCGAGGCTTTGGAGTTTTAACCACTAGGTTACCCCATCGTCCCCATCAATAATGAACCATCAATAATAAACCCGAGGGAGTAAAACTGTATTAAACACCCAAAGAAAACTATCAGTACCCAAAGTAAGTGCAACTCAAAACATTGTCTGGAGCCCTGAACTAAGCTACTCACTCCCAATGTAATCAGAGAAGAGTTTTCCGTTCCTGAGATCATATCGTCTGACACGTCCATCTGCTGACCCTGTGAGTATCTCATGGTCAGAGACCTGGATGGACGTCACACTGTCCTTTGCCTCATCCATCACCTAGGATGAAACAAGCACTAATTACTCACATACTGCTTACTACTATATGGTCGCAGTGAATGAAGTCGTTGTACTAATGAGAAATCAAACTATTTTCAGGGGAAAGTCACTGCAAGTTAAAACATTTATATTTCTGTTCTTCCTTTCAAACCTACAACACAACCAAATGTTCATGCCATGAGACTATATGTTATCAATGATCTACTTTTACAACACCACTCAAAAGAAGCCAAGGTCCACTCTATTCTTTCATATTACTATTGTTGTCTGTCGTGGCATGACAGGAGTGAGTGAGTGAGTATGGTTTTACGCCACTTTTAACAATATTCCAGCAATATTACGGCAGGGAACACCACAAATGGGCTTCACACAATGTACCCATGTGGGGAATTGAACCCGGGTCTTCGGCGTGACGAGCCAATGCTTCAACCACTAGGCTACCCCACTGCCCCTGCATAAGGAACTGCAGCACCTAAGATGACGAGTCCAGGATGCAAGTAATGCAGACTGGGTAACCCTGCTCTTGTGTTAAGTATACCCACAACTAGTGTCTCCAGTAGGGATGTCACGATACATATGTCACAATTCGATACGTATCACGATACCTATTTTCGTGGCTTTATTGCGTAAATTTAGTAACATTTTGAACATTAATATTTCATATTTTATAATTGTCCATAAAAAGATCGTTTTTGATCCTGAGAGATTAAAAAGTTCTAATTTCCAATCTTTGAGCATGAAAAATAATCATTTATAACTCTCATAACATCAAAAAACATACAATTGCAAAGTAAACAATACATGAACATATTTAAACCGATACTTTCAAAACTAAATATCGATACTGATTTGAGTGTATCGATAATTGTATCATCTTAGAAAAAGTATCGATGTATTGTGGCATCCCTAGTCTCCAGTATTGGCCTACATACCTGAATGGGAGTGGTTTTCCTTGAACGACAGTCCCAGGCTTGAACAGTGCTGTCTAAAGATCCAGACAACACAACAGTTGATTCTTCATTGAATTTCACACAGTTGACAGTTCCTGGAAACAGGATAAATTAACAAGGGTTTTACTTTTAAATGTTGGCATGTTAAAACATTCTTCAATTATTTTGTCAGAGTAAGATACAAATTTGATCAAGTCACAATAAATACATTATTCCATTTTCATATAAAACTGAGAGTCAGCAGACTCTATATTTCATATACATTTTACATTTGACCAAACTGACCAAGGCATCTGTGTATTATAAATGTCAAAGCAGGTGATCCCATGAAGCATGGATGTTTGTGAAACTATGTAAACCAGTCTTTGGAATTTCCACAAGGCTACTAAGTTATATGCAGTGTTTAAACCTCCCAAAATTCCAAGCCAGACAGCTGGACTGGTAACTTAAAAAAATTACCAGTCCGGATACAAACTTGCCTGTCCAGTTTTCAACAATGAAAAACAAACCAAAAAGATCAGGTTTCTCAATACTTTACTGTTTGTAGGCATTGCAATGAAAAACATAGCACTAAAAGGCAATGCACCGAGTTTAGGTAAACTTAAAGTACATGTGTTGTGATTGGTTATTGTAAAATGAACTGTCCAATCATAAATAGTTTAACATAATTATCATAATACCATAACACCTCAAACTGACGACAAGAGAACCTGTCTGACATTATGAAATATTTACTGTTAGGGGCAAAAACATCCACCTAACCACCGGACAGGCTACTTTTGAAATTTGACCGTCCGAGATGAAACCAGACCGTTCCGGACGGTCGGGTAGGTGGGAATTTTAAACACTGTTATATGGAGAACAACCAATGATGGTATTCCTCATTGACTAGAGCATTTGAGGGTGATAATTCTGTGTCAGTACTCAATGAATACCGGTACACAATGCTTTTGAGAAAGTGGTCAAATGTAACAGATGATACATGTGAACCGTGCCAATCTCACTGGTCAGAGGTGTGAGTGAGTGAGTGAGTTTAGTTTTACGCCGCACTCAGCAATATTCCAGTTATATGGCGGTGGTCTGGAAATAATCGAGACTGGACGAGACAATCCACGGATCAACAGCACGAACATCGATCTACACAATTGGGGTATGATGACATGTGTCAACCCAGTCAACGAGTCTGACCACCTGATCCCGTTAGTTGCCTCTTACGACAAGCACGGGTTACTGAAGATCAATTCTAACCCTGACCTTCACGGGTGGTCAGAGGTGTACACAAAGTATGAGATCTTATGTGATTCCTTACTTTCATATAGGTTTATTGTTAATTTACTCAGATGATAGTACGATTACACAGCTTCACAGACATCTTCCCTAAAACAAAGGTGTCAACTGACTATAAAAGTCCAGTTTCCACCTTTGCATTGACTCCATAAGTGTGAAAAGATGATCTTACTCAAGATAAAGATTTTGGCAAAGTCAGTGCATCAGAAACAAGGCATCGATGTGAAATATGAACATTAAATTGAGCATCTATTGTGGGACATTTTGTTGTCGTTTCTGATGAACTTGTTCTGAGATCAAACAAATGATGACTGATCACAAGGGCCTACTCTGTCTCTCCAAACCTATGCCTAGTGAATAGATTGAAAAGTTGTCCAACTCAATCTAGGTCAAATCTAGCGAGATTTGACAAGTCTAGATTGCTTCAGCTCTTGGAATTGAGGATTGTTCTGGGTTCTATTTGGATCTCTCTTCTTTTTTTTTTTTATTTTGTAGATATCTGCTTTAAATAAGACAGCTATATTTCTGGGACTAATGCCAGTAAAAGCAAGGGCAGTGGGATAGCCTAGTGGTTAAAGCATTCACTCCTCATGCTGAAGACCTTGGTTCGATTCCCCACATGGGTACAATGTGTGAAGCCCATTTCTGGTGCCTCCCGCCATGATATTGCTGGAATATTGCTAAAAGCGGCGTAAAACTAAACTCACTCATTCACTCAATGAAGGCATGGCTATACCTGCATGACCCCTGTACTTCCTCACTGCATGACCAGTTGAAACATCAAACACCACCACAGTCTTGTCCATTCCACCAGAGCAGATTTGACTGTTGTCGGATGAACTTTGAGCATCCAACACCTCATATCCATGTCCGATGTAGGTTTTCAGTACACTGCCTCTGTGAGGGTTCCACAACTTCACTGTTTTGTTGCTGCCACATGTTAGACAGTAATTGCCATCAGCTGTGAATACAAGTATACATAGACACTTTAAGGAAATTAATGATTTCAAGGTACAGAATTTGCATTCTTGTGAGATCAGAATGGGGGGTTAGAGTTAAAAGGCATTTTGAAGTTATGGCCAGGGTTACTATGTTATGGCTCAGTAAATGAGGATGACCACACATCCAAATTACCAAGCTACCTTGATCAGCTTCCAGGACAATCTGCAATTCAGTTTCATATGTACCCATTACTAAACTTGAGTGAGTATGGTTTTATGCTGCTTTTAGCAATATACCAGCAATATCAATGAGAGAGTGAGTTTAGTTTTACGCCGCACTCAGCAATATTCCAGCTATATGGCGGTGGTCTGTAAATAATCGAGTCTGGACGAAACAATCCAGTGATCAACAGCATGAGCATCGATCTGCGCAATTGGGAACCGATGACATGTGTCAACCAAGTCATAGTCGCCTTTTGTGGCAAGCATGGGTTGCTGCATCCTCGATAATCTCCAGGGTATATGTTCTGATAAATCTCTACTATACCCTGGATGCATCTACGGCTGGAGCCGATGATTTTATTACCTCCCTTTGCTGGCTCTGCATTCTCACAGTAGCCAATCAGATAAGCCGCCGGTACAACTGAACATGCCAGTGTCAACAAAGATAGCGGTCACAGCCGCGAAAGTTTGTTCACAGTGCGACTCAGATTTGGGGGGAAAACATACAGACAAATTGACAGGTCTGAAACCTTAAAAAATATATGCAAGAACTCCTTCAGAGTACCTCTGCAACAATATATTATTGTGATGCCAAGTTTAATCGGTTAGATAATTTAAAAAAGGGAAAGTGAGTTGTGATTGTACGTTCAACTTCCCAGCGTAGACACCTGATTGGATAAAAAGCTAACCAAGGGCGGTAATAAAATCATGGGGCCATAGATGCATCGGAACGTATACCCTGGAGATTATCGAGGATGGGGTTGCTGAAGACCTATACTACCCCGGACGTTCAAGGGTCGCAGCAATATCAGAGCAAGGGACACCTGAAATGGGCTTCACATTGTACCCATGTGGGGAATCGAACCCAGACCTCCAGTGTGGTAAGCAGACACTTTAACCATTAGGCTACCCCACCGCCCCTACTAAACTTGAGTGTTATACATAATGCATAGCTGTGTGAAAGGGGCTATATTGTATACACTCAGACATTCAAGGTAAACACATTAGTACTGGAATGTTTCCTTTCTGCATTTACTCATTGGACAAATTCAAATGGAGAAGCTCTACCTTGTGATAATACCAAACACTAAACTGGGGACATACATCTGGTGTTTTTAATGTACCAGAATACTACTCCACAGAAGTTTACAAGAGTCAATATTGCCTGTTCCTAAATGACCAGATTGTTTATGGAATCCTGGGATTTGAGTCAGATGTAACTTCTTACATAAAATCTTGAGAACATTAATTCACTGTTCACGGTATATATAAAGGTGTGTGTGGTACCGTTAAAACGAACTGCTCTCACTGCGCCTTGTTTACAGTCAACAGAAGTAACAAGATTTTCGGTTATATCTTCGGCCATAATTGCACTGTGTCAGGTACGCATCCCAGGCGCTCCAAGTTATATTTGGAGTTACTTGCCCCTGTATGATTTAAGTAAAGTTGTCGGGAGTAAAATAGTTTTCGTAATAAGCCTGCATTTAAACGATAAACTAACATTAAGTTTACACATAAATCATGTTCTGTATATAGTACAATTTAAAAATCCTTGATAGTAATGTTTTTATTTAAGCTTTCCGAACCTATTAAAAGTCTGGATACGAATTGGTGGTTCGACACTATTTCAAAAAATGGCGACGGGAAGCACCGACTTTTACCTCCGATATTATGTTGGTCACAAAGGAAAATTTGGACATGAATTCCTTGAATTTGAGTTTAGACCAGACGGTATGCTATATATAGGTTATTTTGGTTTGGTTTGTTTGAAATGATTTCGATATTTTGTGCAGCTTTTGTTGCAAGACAATCGCATGATACATGAAGCCACACGTGCGGCCCACACCGATGTATCTGCGATTTACTTTTCATATAAACCTCGATCTTGGAATATTGTGAACAGTCCGCCTGCACTCAAACGAAGACAACTGTCAAGTGAATATATAGTAAAGATAAAATTTGTATTTTCAAATTAACAGGCTCTCTGAACATGATAAAGGTACATACTTGAAACGAATGAGATGCTGAACTGGAGAGTATTGTTGTATGGAGAACTAGACTTTACCGGGTCTCGGCATGGTTTAAAACAGTTTACAAGATAAGATACATTATTTAACACTTATCCCAACAAGCTCGGACGTTTATACATCTTAACACACACTTTCATAATCATGCAAAGTTAATTCTTGTTAGAATAGATCTCACTCTCAGTGAATTGTTGTTTTTCAGGTAAACTACGATATGCCAACAACTCAAACTACAAAAATGACACAATGATCAGAAAAGAAGTAAGTGAATTGTTGACTCTTCCGGCAGTACTTAATGAAATATATCTGTATGGTAGTATACACTGTTTTTCTGATGGCGCTGATTACCGTTGTTTTCTTGTCATTTTATACTGAAAAAGTTTGGTTATGATTAACTCAGAAGGACAACTAATGTTAGTTATGTGCATTTTGACTAAAATATTAAGCCAGTGTTCAGGATCTCAAAATTGGTTTGTTATATCCTTCAGTTCACTGTAAGTGAGTTTACTGTAATGTATTACTTAATGACTCTTGAAATGAATTGAAATGAGTTAGAATTGATATTCAGCAACCATGCTTGTACTGAGAGGTGAGTGGGCGGTGGGGTAGTCAAGTGGTTAAAGCGTTTGCTCATCACGCCAAAGTCCCGGGTTCGATTCCCTACGGGTACAATGTGTGAAGCACATTTCTGGTGTCCACCCATGATATTGCTGGAATATTGCTAAAAGTGGCATAAAACCATAACTCACTCACTGAGAGGTGGCACTGTCATGTATCAACCAAATCACCCAATCCTGTTACATAGATTGATTCTCATTATATCAAACACTGGATGGACTGCCTATATAAAACAGGAATAATATTCAGTGTGACATTATGATGCAGGCTTATGTCCACAAGTCTGTTATGGAGGAGCTGAAACGAATCATCGAGGACTCCGAGATTATGCAAGAAGACGATAACTTGTGGCCTGCCCCAGACAGAGTTGGCAGACAAGTGAGTATTGTTGAATTACTCCAGCGCTCACACAATAATCATGATAATAATCCCCATTTCTCCTCCCTCACAGGTAGTCCCGCGTGATGTTATTGAAACATCTATGTCAGTGATGATGCAAAACATATATTGTATCAGCAACAGTTGGAAAATGATTCTGATCTTTTGTACTTTACGTAGAAAGTGTAATCCCATGTGTAACACTTGTTACAACTGACCACTTTCTAGAACACCTTGTGTGATCATAATTTAACCAACATTAGATATTATGCATATTCAAACCACAATTAAATCATGAGCAAATGTTGAAGGGCATATTTATTGGGTTGTCAGTGACAAAACCGATGGGATGGGAATATTTTTATATCAATAAATGTGAAGATGAGAGACCGTAGTAATTTGGCTAAACCAGAGTCACTCAGTGAATGTTTACATTTCATTTGTTATGAATATGATGGTCTTTGTGTGCTTTGTTTGAGATATTCCGGTTATTGCATGAAATGTTTCTTGCAGAGTCTTTCTTTCCAGTTGATTTCAGCTGTGATAATTTATTTGTTTTGGTTTCAGGAGTTGGAGATTGTGATTGGAGATGAACACATTTCTTTCACAACATCAAAGATTGGTTCCCTTGTTGATGTCAACCAGAGCAAGTGAGTCACCTATTAATGCAGGGGTTTGAAAAACAAACAATTTTAACCAAAGTTGAAATTGTAAATGAGAACTGACATGCATTCAATGTTCATGTCACATGTACAGTTATTTGAAGAATAGCAGTGAAATACATTTACTGGATGATTTGTGTTTCAATTTATGACCAATTTCTTCACGTAAGTTGCAAAAATCATGTTCAAACAACCTGTGAGTCATTGCAGTGTGTTTAGAACAACAAGAAACTAAAAAGAATCACATCCCTCACAATGGTTACCAATAATGTGGGTGTCCAGTTCTGAGATTTACTGAGTATTAATTATACACAAGTGATAGGGCTGTAACGATGCATCAAACTATCAATGGATTGCAATTAATTGACGGTAGAAACGAAAAAAACTTTTGATGCATCAATAGTATATGTGCCTATCGATAGTTTAGTAATTGACTTCCGTTGATATATGTGCAGCACAATATGCAGGAAGTACCAGATTTGTTAACCAGAATTATCCACCCCTGTTACATCTTAAACGTGATCTGGGTTTCAAGTTCTTGTCAGTTATTAAAAGAGACTGAAACTACTTCAGCTTGTTTTTTATTTCATATAAACTATTCATTTATTTGGGAAATGACTTTAACTGAGACAATTCAAGGAGAAAAAACTATTGCAATAGTATTGCAATATGTGGTCGCAATAGTTGTTTCCCCCTCAATAGTCACCCCTAACAAGTGATATACTGTGTCAAATACATAGTGTAAGAAACATGATTAACTGTGCTGTTACATCAGTTTTGCCATGCAAGGATCCAGTGATCCTAGATCTGCCGTGTTTTATGGTCTTGTGTTTTCAGCACCGTTATCTATGCTTATTATAAACATCCAATACTCTTTTGTGTCAATTAAAGTTTCCTTCCCCAAATATGCTGTCAAGCTTTGATAAGATAAAATTACTCTTCACTTCCCAAAATCTTGAGGGATTGCCTATTGGTTAAAGGGTTCGCTCGTCACTGAAGACCCGGTTTGGTTTCCCCATATGGGTACACCCATTTGTGGTGTCTCCCACTGTAATATTGCTGGAATATTGCTAAAAGTGGCATAAAACTCACTCCAAAGTCTTGAACACAGCATACAGAGAACATAAAAGCCTTAAAGGGCATTCAAGATTTCCTTTTCTTTCAGGAGCTTGCTAGCATATGTTGCATGTGCACAGAATTTATGAAAGGTTATTGTACTCACTGTGGATTCTATTTTCCTAAAAGCTCAGTTTACTGACCTTTCTTGTTAATGTTCCTGTTTCTTATTCCAGAGATCCCGAGGGATTGAGAACCTTCTACTACTTGGTCCAAGATCTGAAGTGTCTTGTCTTCTCGCTTATTGGTCTTCACTTCAAGATTAAGCCCATCTAAACTCACCCAGGCACCCTTCATTCACATTGCGGTCGTTTTATGTCATTTTAGTCTTATCATTTTACATGTAAATAAACAGACTGAACCAAATATGAGTGTGTTTTCTCTTCTATGGAGTTGTGTTTTCACTTGAATATTGCATAATGAAATATATCTGGATTTTAGATAATTACCACATTAAAAGCACACATGAATACCAATGATTATGTGATTAAAGCCTGTCTCAATTCTTGGTTAGGTTACAGTTAGGGCAACCATCATTCCACAAGCTGCAGTACCAAGAGTTCCTTAGTTTGATTTCTTAGTTTGAACAGTGTCTTTCTGGGGATGCTTATGGAAGAATGAATCAACACTTTATTTATCCAGTTTCAACATAGAGCTTTGCATTACTTGTTTTGACAAGTGAGTCTTGAATGACACCGGCTGTTGCACAGAAGATTGTTCTTATAACATTTGCAATTCTTGGTTCCACATATCTTGCTACCAGCAGAGTTACACTTTACAAAACCCCGGCCTCCTGATAAAGACTCTGTTATGTTTTGTATGTAAAGATAACTTTATTGGAAATGAATTCCATTTTATTTTGGTATGTAAATGTTATCAAAATCTGAGATGTTTGTATTTACCACATAAATTTTATTCGAATCCCACTATTCATAAGTTTAATATGCTCATGTCAACTGGCAATCCATATACTGTAAATAACCTAGCTATTTATATACACAATGCAATGAAACTTAGAGATTCACTTCTATGCCAATAATATCATATTTCCTTTTGTATACTTTGTAAATTAACTTATTGTCTTCTGAACTATATATGCACATATGTACCACTCTGAAATCCTGATGTGTAGCCTGGGCCTATGGCCTCCACTACAAAGAAAATAAAGATTGATTGATTTATTGATAAAGACTCGGCTCCAACAGCAGTACGAAGGGATACTGAAGTTTCAGTGTTGACTTCTGATAAAGTTAACAGTTTCTCTGGGCACAAATCGAACTGGTTCCTCGAGAATTTGCTTTGGAGGACACCAGCAGGGCAAGCGATTGTATACTGTCCGTTGTCACTCACATTGGTGATCACACCCACAATGTTCCTCGTATCACCTCGACCACAGTCCACTGCAGGAATGGGAATGGCCAAATTGTCTTCCACACACCCTTCTTTCATGACAACTTTGCTGCGCTTTACCGTCCTCTCTGACTGTTTTCTAAGGGAGTCGTGTGTCGTAGCACACAAAACTTGGTCAAATGGTCCTGGTACACTAGTATCCACTTGAAGGAACGTTGGGGTAGGGACTGCATGTCAACCTGGTCACGGGCTGTGAATTCCTTGGACAGAATAGG